CCAGCAAATTATTTTTCTCCGTGAAATTTTTATGTTAGTAACGAAGAATATGTTCTTCGTTACTAACATGAAAATTTGATATTATTTGACAGCTAATACAGGAAAAAAAATTAAAGTGTTTCGAAATAGGTGCTGTTCCGAAATAGGTTCGCTTGCTCTATTTAACATTACACGGAAAAAAGATTTGCTACATATGGACAACTAACATAATTTGCTATATTAGCCACTTTTTCTTTGCTGCAGGAGCCAATTTCCTTGCTGTGATAACAAGAAAATCTCAATAACAAGGAAAAATCTGCTTCTGCAACAAAAAAATAGCTAAAGCAGTGAATTATGTTTAGTTGTCCATCTGTAGCAAATTCGCTACGTTAGTCACTTTTCTTGTTGTAGGAGCAAACTTTTCTGTTATTATAGCAAGAAAATAGGTTCCTGCTGCAAAGATAAAGTAGCTAATTATATAATAGCGAACTATATTTAACTGTCCATATATAGCAAATTAGTTTGCTGCTGCAGCAAATTATTTTTTTTTCTTGTACACGGAAAAAAATAATTTTGTTCTTTTAGCAAAATCGTCGTTGCTACTGCATATTCGTAGTGCCATCAAAAAAATTTAGTTGACGTAACTAATTTTACAAATTAGTTCGTTATCAGAGCAGTAGTTTCATTGCCAGGATAAAAAAAATTTGTTGAGTATATTTGTCCTAAGAATCACGTTAATTTGCTATCGATGCAAAATAATGTATCCTTAGCAAATTTATTTGCTATCGGAGCAAAATTGGAACTGCTTATATAAATCCATCATGATTCTTACAGCAAAATAATTTGTAGATTCAGCAAATTATATCCAATATTATATCCAGCATTATTATATCCAGCATATAGTGATTAATACTTTAAGCAAATCTTTTTACTGTCCATATAATAACGAAAAGATTTTGCTAGACCAGCAGAAAATTTGCTGGGCCAGCAAATTATTTTTCTCCGTGTAATCGCGTCCGATTTTACGAATCCATTATTCGAAATATCGTTATTTTTCCCGTCTCGAATCGTCGTCGTTGTCGTCGCTTCATTTTTATCGTCGCTGAGCAATTCTTAATCTCGATGCGGATGGTTTTTCTTTGAAAGCCCGTTTTGGACGAACGCCTAATTCACATGTATCTGTAAATCTTCGAATGTTTCCTTTATCGTGACGGTGTGTGTGCATGCATATGAAATTTTTGCGAATAGATTTGTGCGCTGAGAGATAAATATTATAATATTCTACAAGTAAATTTTTAAATATTTTTCTTTCTCTCGGTGTGCGAGTAAAATCCTATCGCGATATACAGACTGTCTAAAGTCGAGCACGAATCCAACGAATCGCGCCATTCGATGACCGATATATATATATATATATATATATATATATATGTGTGTGTGTGTGTGTGTGTGTGTGTGCGTGCGTGCGTGAAAGAATATGCGTGTCGAGGTACGATATTCTCTACGTGCAATATATAGCGCGTTATCGGTCTAAGGTTCCCGTTATCGTCGCGTAATCTGGAACATCGTATTTCTTCGTGTCGTTTTACGTGTCGCGTTCGCGGTGTCACCATCGTCGAGAGCTATTTTCGAAGTTTTTCTCTTTTTCTCTCGCTCGCGTGCCTCGAATTTAAAATATTAAATATTCCGACTTTCCAGGAAGTTGAAGAGAGCCGTTCTCGAAGAGAACGAGCAGAAGGAGAGCAAACGCAAGCGCTCGGAGCCGGTGGTGGTGACGCAGATCATCGTGCAGAACGACCGAGTCACGGAGCAGGAACCTAAGAGGAAGACGATGGAGCATCCGTTGAGCAACAAGGGCGTTGAGAGTCGCCTGCCGAAAGTCACGCCGATCATCGAGGATTATGAGATCAGCAGTCACGTGCTGGGTCTCGGCATTAACGGCAAGGTCGTGCAGTGCTACGACAAACAAAAGAGACAGAAGTACGCCCTTAAGGTAGTTCCTCGCTTTAAATTCGTAAGCTTAAGGCTTAGTTTCCGTTCGTTGGAGCACGGCGATATGCGAAAAATGCGCGCCTCTTAGCTGCCTCAAATCGAGATTTGTAATTATCCGAATATTACGATTATCTGAGTGTCCGAGATCAGGACCCTGATTCTCGAAAATATACCGATATTTAGTGAAAAGTTATAGTATACATAACATGAACTATACCTTTTTTATATTATGTTATATATTATATTATTATTATATTATATTATATATTATATTATACTGAAATATCTTATGCGATATATTTTCGAGAATCAGGCCCCAGGCTGTTACACTGAGGAAAAACACTTAGAAATTTATCTGTGAGATATAGTTTCTTTCTGTGAAATGAAGTTTATTTTTGTGAATAAACTTTATGCCCCACACAAATTAATTAATATTTATTAATTTCCAAGTATTTTCTCCTCAGAGTTACACTTTATCTTGAATTATATTGTTATATCTTTCATTTTACTCTGTATCATTACATATACAAGCTCTTTCTCGATGCTCCAACGAATCAATGCCAAATTATGCCGCCAACACGAATAGAATTTAGAATAGTAGTCGGCCGGAAATAACATCGTGAGATTCGAATCACGTGTTGTACTATCAGTGCCGTGTTGAAGTGCATCGTAAACGTCATTTTCTTCGAGAGTAAGCCGCTCTAGGCAATCGATCAGAGAGAGAGAGCAGAGAGAAAGAGACTATTTTCAAGCGGTCGTGGCATTAACTCAGATATGGCTACTCGTGTAACCTCGCTCGTTTCCCTGCGGAAGTAATCCTTAGAACGAACAGCCATTGCTGATAAGTTTCGCGATTGTCGCGCGGGATCTCCGGAGATCTCGCGGCTCTTATCGGCGAGTGTGGAAGCCGTACGGAGCGATGGTACTGCGTACTTTTTTCGTCGACAGTACCGCGTCCTCGGCTATTTCCGAGGCGTGAGAGCGGCGTGTTCCGCGTACGTACGAGGCGTGTGTTGGCCGTTAATCCGGCGCGTTAACACCTCGTTGCGGGAACGCCGCGGCTTGTCGCGTCGCTTATCGATGCCCGCTCGGTCGCGCGAAGAAGTGCGATCATCGACTAGCGATGTCCACACGGACGAGTTCAGACTCGCGAGTCATCCTCTATTTATACCCGGTGATTTCCCATTCGACGATTCCACCTCTACTCTACGCTCTCGAAGGTGGCCTGGCTCTTATTTTGTTCTCGGTCGGGACCCCGCAAGATATTCGGCGTCGTCGTCACGGCGATGTTCCTCGAGGAGCTTGGAGATCGCGGTCACAGTACCGGCCGTGAAGCGACGGGGCACCTAGGGAGAAGAAATTCTCTCACGCGTCTCCCCATCGGATCATTCAATTTCGACCTGAATATTCGCCGTTACAGAGAGCGAGGATCTCGAGGGAGAGACCTCGTACCACGTGTGATTTATCGTCCCGTGATGCCGTGCATCTCGTTGTCGGTAGACCCGAGATGTAGATAAAATTGCTAGTCATCATTCTTACGATAGGAATTATTTCAGTCGCGCGGTTAACGCACATGGAGGCGGCGGGTCCTGATTATTGCATTTATAACTGCAATTACCGAAATCGCGCTTGATTAAAGAATACTCCTGTTAATATGTAATCGAATCGACCCTGAAATAATCGAGTGTCAATTGGCGCTATATTATGTCGCTGTTATCTCAATGTTGTAACGATAGACCATTTTTCTGATAGCAGAGGCGCCACAGTGTCACATGTGCGCGCGTATATTTCGAGAGACGAATACAAGATATCAATGTACGAGGAAAAGAAAGTTCGCGCAACTGAATGATCGGACGGAAAACTCGGTGACGAAAAACAATAGTCTCTGTTACCGAGAGCGAAATATTTACGCTGCAATTCTAAGCAAATATACGAGTAAATCATAAAATCGTAAAGTCGTAAAGTTTACGAAAAAAAGAAAAAAAATCGTAGATATTTACGAGTTATCATATGACATCCGCATAGAATTGCAGATCTACTCATAAGTTCTTACGAGGCTTACGAGAAGTACGATCACAAGTTACGAGATCAAAATCTACGATTTTGTTTATAGAAAAAAAATCTAATTCTATAGAATTGCAGTATTATTTAAGTATTAAACTGCACTCGGTTGAGAGTAGTTGGCTCAATAGAAACTTCCAGCAGTATCTTTTTTAAGAACCTGTAAGCAAATTTTCGTTTGATAAAGAATTAAAAAACTAAATGTTGTTCTCGTGAACACTCAGATTTATACTGCAATTTTAGACAAAATCGTAAAACTCATAACTTGTTCTCGTAAGACTCGTAAGAATTTATGGGTAGATCATCTGTAATTCTATATCATATATCATATATCATATGATAACTCGTAAATATTTAGAATTTTTTTTGTAAACCACGACTTTACGATTTTACGATTTACTCGTATATTTGCTTAGAATTGCAGCATTAGTTTAAATAAATATAAAATAGTTTATCAAACTATATACATTGATTCTACATACAAAACTCACATAGCTTGTACAGTGCGAAAAACACTTGAAAATTTACTTGTGAAATATAAAGTTTATTCACAAATAAATTTTATTTTCCAGAAACAAACTTTATTTTACAAAAACAAATTTTATTTCACAAAAGTAAACTTTATATTCCACAAATAAATTATTTCTCAGTAATTACCCTTACCATGTATTTTTCTTCAAAGTACAGTCAATAGAAAATTTAGTCACACTAACGGAATTATTTTATACTGAATAAGGATTGCTCGCGGAAGTCGCGTCTCTCTCATCGTCGTGAAGGCAGCGGAGACCGTGAGACTGGCTGCAGAAATAATTTCACGGCGAGTTTGACGAGGAACGTTGATCGCCGATGCAGATATATCGAATGCCGATGACCGATACGCGAGTCATGTGACGCTCGCGGGGCCGACGTAGACGTAAACGTGGCCTCCGCTTGACATCGATCTCCTCGCTCGTCTTTTTACACGAGGTTATAAATGCATTTATACGCACGTCGCCGATCTATCAACGTTACAATTGCAATACGCATTAATCTGTTCGAGCGTGAAAAGCTCGCGTCGTCACGCGAAAGATTACCTCTCCATGGCGCGCGAGATCTCGAAGCATCCTCCGTACTGTTAGTCCTTTCGCGAATGAGTTCAAGAAAGTCTATTTTTTAATCGTTAGCCGCTCAAGTCTTCTTTTCGCGAGAAAAATCCTCGTTTCCATGCTATTTATACATACGTGCGAAGCGGATTGCTCGTGTAAAGTCGCCTAGTCCCGAACGATTCGCGACGCGATCGTAAAACAAGCTCCTACTGCGAAAAGATATCGCGTTGCGGCTGCTTCTCGGACTCGTTACAAAAATAATCGGGATGTGCCGTACGGAGCTTTTTCGCGCGTTCGTTACCGAGAGGGATAACCGTCGAGGAGGACGAGAAGGAGGATGATGCGATCGTGTCGTTCTCTATTTTATGACGGCGCATATGGCCGCGCTTTTGAGTAACGTTTATCTCGTGTAAACATCATTTCGTTCGCAACGTCTTTTGCAAAAGATGCGTTTTCGCGGCGGAAATCCCCCGAGGAAATTTTTTGCTAGCGACGCCGCGAACTCTCTCTCTCTCTCTTTCTCTCTCTTCCACTAAAAATATCGCCCATTTACTCGTCAGTGGATTGTTATTTCACATGACATACACATATGTACAACGTAACACGCCCGATAGGTGAGATACGCGAAAGTCACGTGCGTTTTCAACGGTTCTCTATATCGATTGCGTTTCCTTCGCGCTCACCAGAGCACGTGTTCAGCTCCGTCTGCTGTCTCGTCAGCGCTCAGGCTCGCGATTATCAGAATACCCTTGCGCTTTCGTCGCGGCTTTCATGCCTCTTGAACTTCGCCTGTCACAGCATTTTTTTTCCGCGCGAGGAGACGCGCCGTTAACTGCAGCGCACGCATGACTGCGTGCATGCGCGATTAAAGCACGCGAGACCGATAAACTGCATGAAAAATGCCGTCATCGCACGACTCGTGCGTATATTTCACGATGATCTCATTTTCTCCGCCGCGAAAATGGTCAATGACTTTGACGGTGCATATATCGAGTGTTGTCGTCAACAGCTGAAGCGCTCGCCGGATTCGATTACAACGGATTTCCCGCAGAAGTCAATCGGATTAATAATTTTTCTAGATATCTTCCAAGCCGGCTTTAAAAAGAAATGCGTGTTTAAAGTCATTCCCAGTGCCTTTCGCGCTTCGACACTGCTTCACAAATTCTTCTCTTCGTCAATTTTCAATAAATTTTTAAAGGAATTTTCAAAACTATATATAATCTTTCAGAAAATGCGATAAAAAATTGATTTTTGAAAATTTTTACCATATGATGTTCTCCCTTAATATCCGCGGCAAAGAGAAAGAGAGAGAGAGAGAGAGAGAGAGAGAGAGAGAGAGAGAGAGAGAGACAAAGAAAGAAAGAAAGAGAGAGAGACAAAGAAAACCAATCGCCATATCAGTGATCGCGTGTTGTATCGTTGTAATGAATATTGACAAGTCGATCGTGCGATAAGGGCATTCTTCGCCGTATACATTTTTATTTTTAATTTGCCACGTAATAAAGAAACCTGAGGCTTGGCCGTGCGATGGAACAGTAGCGACGAATCGATCGTGTCTATCGGCGGCAAAAGAACGGCGGCTGATAATTAGATATGAATAATCATAAGATCGTATTACGTGCGAGCGTCGGAACGTCGAGTGGGGTACTTGCTTCACGCAATTCCGATAAAATATGATCGATGTTTATTGCATCAAACGAACGGGACTCGGAGACTCGAGTGAGGAAAATTAATGTAAAAAGAAAAAAATGCGAATATCTTAGAGCGCGTCCGAACTAATAATACGTGTGTAAGTTCGTTGTCTTATGACTAATCTACGCGAGAAAAATACACGTTACGTTTGTTTTAATAATTT